TGTAAACATGTTTATTTCTTGTTGGACTTTAATATGGGACCTTATGGAGAAAACTGCAGTTTTTGTTATTACCATGTTGCCTTCATTTGCCAGCCACAGGGGTTGCTGTGTCAATACTGAGAGTAGTTTTGTTGACCAGCTTTCAGGCACCTCCGGTTTATCAAGCCTGAACCTGCTTCCGTAAGGAAGGACAGGTCCAGCTGACATGAATCACCACATAGTTCCAGTAGGTGGTGGAAGTCATGATTCAGAAAGACTGGATCCACGCTCCCTTATTTGTACCCTGACTCTGAATGAAGCTCAAAGTGCTCTGGGGATTGCAGGTTTTGCATCGGTGGCTGTAAAGTTTTCACATCTTACCCAAGACCTATTATTTTATTACGGTCTTTCCATTCAAAATTCTGTACGCTTTAAACAAAGTGCTTGTTAGGTAATCCAACTGTGTCTTGTTGTTGAAATGGTCTGTTTTGCAAAGTTACAGAAATGGTCCATCCATACATGGACACAGCCTCCCCTGATTCCACTGTCCAAAAGACCATTTCAACCCCCCCCCCCACAAACAATTCATTGTTCTGAGACTACAAAGACATGGAAGAACACAGTTCTTAGAGAAATAACGGGAAGACAGTGGGATACAACTTTTCTTTCTTTTCTATGACAGCAGGCTCCACACTCCACACACGTCTCTCAGTCTGACCATTTAACAGTTTTGTGTGTTTTTGTAGATGTGGTTGGACGACACGATGTTCAACCTAGTGCCTTTGAAGCATTGACTGACCTGCTTACCTCACTTTATCTTGACTTTTCAATGCCTTGCTCAGGGGTCGCGGTTTGTCATGCCTCTTCCAGAGCTCAAGAACCGGCGGCGGGGCCTTAATGGGCTTGCTTGGTCGACCCTAATCTGCCCTAATGCCCTGCTGCTGGTGCCAAGGCCAGTATCAGCACAGCAACATCTCCACAGTGCAGCAGAGTTGGGCTAATCAGCCGAGCCACACCCTCTAACCCCTTTAAGTTACAAGATTAACACAGTGGAAGGAATGAAGGCTTTTCGCATGGAGGGACGGACAACATTTATAGTTCGTTCAGAAGCTGGAACAGGCCTGCAGGTGCTGCATGACTGTCTGTATCGACAGAAGTGTTTCTCTATGGATCCTAATGGAATAATAATGAATTGTAATTGCAAAGAGCCTTTCGCCGCGCCTCCATGCATTTTTGGTATTGACCCGTCTGCAGTCAGCTGAAGCATGAACACCTCACATTCCATATTGATTCAGCTTTTACAAGGAGAACCAGCGGTGTGATGTATTTTTCCGCATAGTTTTCTTCCATTAAAATGTATTATTGCACTCAGGCCAGAGCAATTGTATGCACATGCATGAATGCTCACCAACACACACACACAAACAAAGCTGATGGCACCTAACCTCACCGAGACACAATACCGGACTCTAACCGCTAGAGACAACAGGTTAATGTCCCGGCACTCAAAGGCAGCGAGTGCGGGTGGTAAGTGTGGGTGTAGGAGAGACAGAGAGAGAGACACATCAGGAAAAAAAGAGATTAAGACTACCTGCTGGAAAGCCTGTCCTCATTTCCGCAGGCTTCCAGACACATCTGCTAGCATTGTTTAACATCCCTGTTGTAAAGAGAGACGGATTATTGCTCCCCATGGCCTCTGAGAGGAGGGAGACTATGTAACGACATGGACGTTATCCCAGATAAATCTGTTATCCAGGGTTTGTACAGGGATACTCTCTGCAAGGGGATTAAAGACACAGAGAGAGTATAGCAATATGGGAGTAATCCCATCTAGTTTCCTGTTTCACCTTTTATAAAACTTACTGTCATGGAAAGAAGGTCTGCTCCTCATGAAAGTATATCCACAAGGGTGTGTTTGAAATTTACAAGCTCATTTTAAGGTTCATAGACATTCTCCACAGTTAATGGATGTATCATTGCTGCGAGTCCTGTTTGGGTTTCTCATTCCACAGTTTACAATAAAGAAAAATTAATCTGAAGAACCGCTCGTATGGATTTGTTGGAATAATTATGCGCTCTGTCTGTCTCCAGGCTTTCATTTGATTCATATGAAAAAGGACTTGATGTAAAGTGATTTAGACTGTTTCTCTAATTTAAACAATAGGACTTGTGTTCCCACTCATTATCATTCATTTATTTGCTTCAACTGACCCATTAGCTTTCCATCTGACGGTGTTTTTCTAACAAGAGCACAGAACGCCATGCAAAACAGGCTGTATATTAGCCCATATTCATGTGTCAGATCACGGAAGTGGGGAATGTTTAATCACAATTTATCATGCATGGCTGAACTAGGGATTAAGTTTTCCCTCTTGTATATCCTAGCACTAGATTAGCACCCCCTTTGACCCCTAATCTCAAGCAGGATTACACCCCTAATGTATTTACCTATCTTTCATGAGCCCTCCTACAAGTGTTGATGAGTAAAATATTTGATTGTGTGTGACTGTCCTCACCTCTCTGAAATCCACTCATGTCAGAATATTGGATGATCCGTTACTTCACGGGGCAAACCAGGACTTTTGATTGTTCCACAAAATTTGGCTCAAATCCGTGTAATTTCCTCTCAACTGTTTCTCGTCAGTATTCTTAGATCAGCTTTCTGAGCTTATGCTGTAATCTTATTACAGTTCTAGGTGCTATTCAATGCTCAAAGGTGCCCATTCAGTGTCGTCCCTACGCCCACAATTTCACCCAGATATTGTCCACATCCCCCACAATCAAATCCCCCCACTGTGGTCCTGACAGCAGCAAGTAGCCGGAGACTGATGACCCTGTTCATTTAGCCAGCCCCTGGGGCCTCCATCTCATTGGCTCTTAATAGGACACACACGTACGGAGACACAGAAATACCCACCCAGTGAGCACACACTCAGTGACACATCTGGAGCCTATAGAGGTGTCTTTCATTTAGTGGTTTGTAGCGAATGTCTCAAGCCCAACATGGCTGCCGGTTCGCCATTTACAGCATGCTATCACATCCTACTATTGTGTTACAGTTCCTTTCTCTTGTTTATATCTGGTACGAGAAGCTTCACGTTGGTAAACTAATGTATTAGTCCAGCTAACTAACATGCTAGCAATTTGGGACATGCTACCGCTATGATGAGTCACAATACCTTCATGAACTTCTTTCTATTTTTTCTGTACGGCACGGTTTACCCTCCCCCGGCATTTTATTCTCTGGGTTGAATCATTTAATTTAGAAGTGTTTTGTTGAAGAGTCCAAAGAAGCTCCCCAAGCTAATGCGTTTGCTAACTGTCAGTTAACAAGCTTGTAAACTTGGTTGCTATCATGACAATATTTTCACAGTTTATTCAAACGACATATTTGTACCATTGACTCCTCTTTGTAAACCTCAATTGTGAAGGAGTTTATAATTCTAGGTTTAAATAAATGGTTCAACATAGCCAATAAACTGGGCTTACTTAATCCATTTTGGACTCTCCTGCTCTCTGTTCCCTTAAAGGTCAGCACTGTCAAGACGGCTTGTCATTGGTCAGCAGCACAAAGTTCCCCAAAGCTCAACCCAGCACTAAACATACAAAATGTTGCTGTTTTAAATGTAGGTCTGAACAGGCTTTTATACTTGACTACGTTTTTTATAATGGTTTATAACCTGTCTGAGTTTCGAGCCTCTCTTCCACTTATCTTACTGCAAATTAAGCCAAAAACACAACACTTTCATGAGTGTTAATTGCTAAGGTGTTTATTCTGAATTGTTTTTGAGTTGGTGCTACTGTATCTAACATGCATAAGACAACGCATTTAAAAAATAGGGAACTCTTTCTGTTGTTGCTAAATGGCCCCAATTCCACCCAGCACCCCGCTATTCCCAATTATACAGTAAAATAATCCCATCTTGTAAAGAGGTTAAGCATGAAGGACAGCTTTACACATATTTTTCTTGTGTTGTGAGTGTTTAGGTGTGTGTGTGTGTGTGTGTGTGTGTGTGTGTGTGTTCCCCTGTGATTGCCAGCTGTAGGGAGTGTATTCCCCCTGAGACAGAAGCCCATCTGACTGAGCTGTGACATATGCTGCTCTCACCTAATGGACCCACACATAGAGACAGTGCTCACTACAGAACACACAGACACACAAACACATACAGCCTAATCAGTCTTGGGACTATTTACACTCTCTATTGTCTCGATGAGGAACCATTTGTAGTCAATGACAGAAGGTTATTGAGGACACCACTGTTAGCATGTTTACCACTGTTGACTGACTGCTGTGTTTTAATCTGCCCTGCAAAAAGAGAGACAAAGATTGAATGGAAGAAATGATTTGCATAATATTAGGCAAATCAACTTGTACTTGCCAGATTTAAGATTAAGTCATCATTTTGGTAGCCACAAGTGGATCTCTAGTCTTCGCAGTCAGGTCCCAAATCTAGTCCCAAAGTATTGAGATTGCACGGCCTAAATAGGTTCTTCACCAAAATTATTGATATTTGAAAATGTGCCATAGACTACTTGGACTTGAGTCAGACTTAAGGCTGCATCAGTTGTTGTTTTTTTTGTAGACTAGCTGTAATTGACATTTTTTATCTTATAAAGTATAAAGCAAATTTAAACATTTGCCTATTTAAATATCCAATAGACAGAACAACATTAGCATTCATTTGGAGGTTATATCTTTCTCTAACCGCTCCACTATGTTCACCACCTAAGTTGCCAACTTCTGTCTGTGTGCTGCAAAGGTAGCATACAGTAGGTTGATCAGAGCTTTTTCACTGGAAACAGCTGTCTGCTGCTGGAAGGGAGGTTGATGAGAGCTGTGAGAGTGAACATAAACAATAAAGTTGTGGTTGTAAAGCTAAGAGAACACTTTACAGAGCTGAGAGAACTGCAGAGTCAACAAATAATTACCAATGGCTTCATCATTATGAGTGCCTTGTTTCACATTACACATAGTCATCATACATTGTTAATATACAAATATTAATTCAGAAAAATTCTGAATTCACTCAAACCAGCCGTGAAAGATTTCAAAAATGCTCTGATAAAAACTGTATTATAGTTTGTACAGGTGGTATTAACATATAAGGTGTTGGCAGAGACACGTTTCTTACAACATTTAGGCCTGTCAGACAGGATAAGAACAGGTGTAATCAATAACATTATTGATGTTTCGCTTCCATGTCCAACCCATTTTCACAAGTCATAGCAGGAAACGCACCAATGTTTCTAATAACGTTAATT